CTTCCCAATTTTGAACCATGCAGTGTTACCCTGCTCTGTTCTGACTACTGCCTCTTGGTCCAAGTATAGGTTTCGCATTAGCACAATTAAATGTTCTGGGATTCCCATTCTTCTCAGAGTCAGCCACAGTTTGTTATGATCCACACAGTCAAATGCTTTTGCATAATCAATGAAACACAGATAGACATTCTTCTGGTATTCTCTGCTTTCAGCCAAGACCCATCTAACATCAGCAACAATATCCCTAGTACCATGACCCCTTCTAAACCCAGCCTGGACTTCTGGCAGTTCTCTGCTGATGTGCTGTTCTAATCGTTTTTGGATAATCTTCAGTAGAATCTTGCTTGCATGTGAAATCAATGACACTGTTCTGTAGTTTCCACACTCAGTTGGGTCACCTTTCTTTGGAATGGGAACAAATATAGATCTCTTCCAGTCAATTGGCCATGTGGTTCAGCTCTTGGATGCACAGCTAGTAATCAGAAAGACTATGTCCTAAAACAGATGCACCTTAATCCTTAAACAAATATCATTACTCCTCAATTATTTGGAATGGTCCCTAAAGGCAGATTTTCCCAGTGCCATGAATCTCCTTATTTTCTCATACCAACGGTGTTAATTGTGGATCCAAATAAGATGAAGCTGTTGACAGTCTCAATCTCCTCTCCATCCATCATGACACTGCCTATTGGTCCAGGGGTAAGAATCTTTTTTCATGAGATTGAGATGCAATCCATACTGCAAGCTGTATTCCTTGGTCTTCTGCAATAAGTGTTTCAAGCCTTCCTCACTTTCAGCAAGCAAGATTGTGTCATCTGCATAATGCAGGTTATTGATGAGTCTCCCTCCAATCCTGATGCCACACTCCTCCTCAAAGTGTCCACCTTTTCAGATAGTACAGAGCCAGTAACTCTCACAGGAGGATTACTCATCTTTCTCTCACAGGGAACTGGATAGCTTAGTTTAAATAGACAAATACTACAACGCACACAATCTACTCCAATGGAGTCAAAAGGGAATAGATCATTTCAACAGACTCATCACAAGTAAAAAGATTTTTTCAGTGATCAAAACTTCCTGACTAAATGGCTTTACTTGGGAATCCTATCAAACATTTAGAAAAGAATTTATACCAATATTATTTAAACTTTTCAAAAAAATAGAGAAGAACGACATATTTCATTCTGGGAGGCAAATCTAACTTTGATACCAGAACTAAACAAGGGCATTATAAGAAAACTATAGGATGCTTCTATTATGAATATAAACACAAACATCTTCAGTTAAATACTAGTGAACCAAAGCAATCAGCAATACCACAATAAAGTGCAGTAATATGATGGCAATAAAGTCATACCTATCTATGAAAAACATTGTTATAGTTGTAACCGAAATACTTCAGCCACAAAAGATAAAGTAGTATATTGAAACTGTACTTGTAAACAACATGGAACGCAGGGTGGGACATCATTAAAAAGAAGAATAACTTATTTCTTTCCTTTGTCAATTTGACTTAGTGTTTATGGCACTTCATCTATGTGCTATAAGGAGCTCTGGTGGCCTATTGGTAAGTAGCTGCGCTGCAATCCCAAAAGCATGCCATTCAAGTCCTCAAGCTGCTCTGAGGGAAAAAGATAGGCAATATCTGCCTGGGCAATTTATTGTTGTTAGTGTTGTTGTTCCATCAAGTCGCCTGTGACTCATAGTGACCCTATGCACAAAAGCTCTGAACTCTATCCTATCCTGAGCCAGTATCACTGTCTCCAACACACCTGCCCCTGTTATCCCAGTCACTGTGTCAATCCATCTCATTCAGGGTCCTCCTCTCCTGCATTGTCCCTCCACCCTTCCAAGCATGATGTCATTCTGAAACCCTGCTGAAGGGTCAGCTAAGGGTTGGTTCTGACTCAAAGGTATTCAACAACAACAGTCGCATAGTCCATAAGGAATTGTGTAGCAAACCTCTCTGGAGGTTCGAACCCAAGGGAGAAAGAGAAGCAAACTTCTCCCATGCAATTTACAGACTTGAAAACACAAATAGAAAACCAGATACGTATGAGTCAGTTCTGATGAGGCATCAATGTCAAAGGTTTTGTTTCATTTGTTTTTTATGTGTATAGGTGCTTTATGTGTTTTTTTATATATGGATAGACCTATAAATTATCTTCATAGAGGAAAAAATGAGAGGACTTACTGAGAATGTATGCCTAAGAGATTTCCTGAAGTTAAATAAAAGGAGATGAGGAAGGAATATATGAAAGTACGTGTGTTTATATATTACATTACATGTGTATATATCATATGTATTTTATTATAGGAATAATTAATTTTTTTTAAGTTAGCAATAATAATTTTAAAAGAAATTATGATAAAATAATTTTCTCATTCAAAATTGGTTTCTATGGGGTGGAGGTTAAAATGTCCCAAATGTCCACTTCTTCCAAACTGTTGTAACCTTCCATGACTTTTAACATCATTTACTCCTCCTACCCTTTGTCTTCTCCTTGCCATCTATTTTTTGGGGGGTTCTGTAACTTGCTGCAATCTCTCACAGACCTCAAAACCCGTCAGAGAAATGGTTTACGTGATTATGGAAACTGGCAAGTTTCAAATCAGTGAATCAGACTTGTTCACCAGGCGTCTTGCAGAACAGCTGGTATAGGCTGATAATTGCTGGATGTGGTTGCAGAGGCTGCTGAACAGCAGAACAGGGAGTTTTAGGCAGCAGTTCTAGTAGCAGCTGGATCAAGGTAGATACAATGTGCAGACTGATGAAGATGACATATTCCAAGAGCATTCCTCAATATAGGGACTCGGTGTTATAATCTATATCCCTAAGGTTGACTATTGGTAAGACAGAGAGTGAAGACATAGATTTCCACCATACTCCTGCCTCATTAACACAACAGAAAACATGCTCCAGAATGGGATAATAAGCACAGACAATAAGGGAGAAAATATAGAATACATTTAAAAAAATGGAAGATCACGTGCAATCAAAATACAGCTGAAGATCATCCAAAAACAGCTGGAACAGTACATCGACAGGGAACCACCAGAAGATGAAGCTGGGTTTAAAAGAGGCGATGGCACCAGAGATAACACTGCTGATGTCAGTTGGAAACTGGCTGAAATTAGAGAATATCAGAATGTTTATGTGTGTTTTATTGACTATGCCAAGGCATTTGACTATATGGATCACAACAAACAATGGCTAACATTGATAAGAATGGGAATCCCAGAAAACTTAATTGTGCTCACATAAAATCTAGATCTAGAGCAAGAAGTTGTTACCATAATGGAACAAGGGAAGGAACACCGTGTGATTTAAAATAAGGATGGGTGTATATCAAGTATGTATCCTCTCTTCATACCTATTCAATCTGTATGGCTAAGCAAATAACGCATGAAGCTAGTCTCTGAAAAAGAATCAGAGGAAGACTCATCAACAACCTGCAAGAAGACAAAGGTCCTTACCACTGGGCCAGTCCTTATCACTGGGCAACATTATGATATATGGGGAAAGGGTTAAAACTGTTAATGATTTGTCTTACTTGGATTATTTTATTTTATTTTGAAAAACATATTGGGGGTACAAGGAGGTGAGGGTTGGGGGCAGAAGGGTGAGGGTGGACAGGGATGCAGTTGCAGAGCTGCAGAAATTGGTTGGTGGGGGGAACAGGTGAAGGAAATGATGAGGGTCCAGTGGGGACCAGATGCTACAGGGGAATGATAAGCATTTTCCAATGGTAATTAAACCAACTGTCTTTTTGATTTGGGAACTCGATGCAGACTCTCTGGCTTCTTCATGCTGAGCAGAGGTGTTGATGTGAAGGGGGAAAGGGAGGACACTTTATCACCTTATGGGTGATCTTGGGTTAAGGCTGCTTGCCTTCTTGTTCTGTTAGAAGATATTTTCCTGTCATTTGCTCCCCTCTGGACTGCAAAGTGTTTTCCCAGGTGGGTCCAGTGGGGATGACTGGTTGAACCCAGAGGCTCCATCCTCCTTTGCTTCCTTAGCTGGCAGTTGTATTTCCTTTTTGTCACTGGCACTGGGTTCAGGGTAAAATCTGAAGTAAAACGCAGAGGTAAGGTTACCTATAGGAAAGGGAGCAAACCTAGAGAGAACAAACTTGTGAGTTACAAATAGAGGGGTTTTGAGGGTGTTGCTTTCAGGTTTACTGGGGGAGAGGGTGGTGAAAAGTAGCCTAGATAAAATTCTCTGGATACTCTAGGCATTTTTTTCCCACCCAGGGGTCAGATGGCACAATCTGGGGACTGAGGAGCTCACCCTGAGGGCCATGACGGCTAGCCCTGAGCCAAGGGCCAAAGACAGCCCAACCCGGGCAGAGGGCCATGACAGCTCGCCCTGAGCCAAGGGCCGAGAACAGCCCACCCAGGCAGGGCAACACCCCCCATGCGCTGGCTGGTACACTCTGCCTCTAATTGCCCCCACCCCAATCTGGTCCCCTCACCTGACCGAGGATTTTGTGGCCAGGGACAGCATCTCTAATTCCAGCACCGCCACTTTTACCCCCCCATAAGTGGTCATACTATAATTTGAAGTAGCTGTCACTGCCCTCCCCCTTTATAAACGGCAAAGGGAACCTGAGAATTGTGAACAGGATCCCCCCAAGTCTATACCCCTCCATAAGTGGTCATACTATAATTTGAAGTAGGTGTCACTGCCCTCCCCCTTTATAAACGGCAAAGGGAACCTGAGAATTGTGAACAGGATCCCCCCAAGTCTAAACAGCTTTTGGCAGAAGCATTCAACAGATTAAAGTATGTGGTGCACTTAGGATGTTGGTCCTCTTGGACATGCTGCCACTGTTAAGTGTCATCAAGTAGACAACTCACAGTGACTTTCAATAATCCATTGTATCGGTGATCATCTTCTCTGGCTGACCAAGGAAACCAAAACCTGCAGGCGGCAGGGCGCACATCCCCCATGCAGGTGGCCGGCAAGCGCACACCATCTCCAGTACGTCATCTCCCATATGGGCGGCCATCGGGCATGCATCATTTTGTGCGAGGGCAGCCGGAAGGCGCGCGCCCTCTCCCGCATGGGTGGCCGGCCGGTGTACGTCATCTCACGTGTGGGTGAACTGCGGGCACATGCCATTTTGTGCGCAGGTGGCCGGCAGACCTTGCGCTATCTCCCGTGGGTCATCTCCCACATGGGTGGCTGAGGGGCATGCTTCATTTCGCACACGGGAGGCCAGTGGCCGCCTGCTTCCCCTGCTGCTGCCATCTTGGCTCCAAGAATTCTCCCCAGAACAAGTCCACTTTGCGGCAGTGTGGCGGCTCCGCTGTACCAGTCTTGGAGAGGTCCAGTGCCTACCATCCATCTTGGGTGAGGGAATCCATAGGTTCCAGCTGTGGGAGTCTCATGGAGCTACTGCTGCAGTGTGGCGTGGTGTGGCCTCTGCGGGAGGGGCTTGGGAGCTGCGGGACTCACCCATTCCTCCTTCCGAATTCTTGAATTCCTGTTTTTGAGCCTCAATCTTCACTGAAGACCAGTCATCAACTGTTTAACTGTTCAATTAAAAATTAACAGAAGTCTGTAGAAGGCCATAGTGGCACTGTTACAAGTGGTCTGCTGCTCCCACAGCTCACCATGTTGTCTCCGCCTCCACTGCCATCTTGGATCCCCTTACTTGGATTCTTAATCAATACACTTGGTACCAGCAGTTATATTAGAAGACATATTGCTTTGGGCAAGTCCACTTGCAAGGATTTCTCCAAAATACTGAAAAGCAGTGATGTCAGTTTGAAGACCAAAGTGCTTCGAAGTACTGATTTAGACCATGGTATTTTCAATCATATGCTATACATTTTTTTTCTATAATTATATTTTATTAATTTTCATAAACATTTACAGAGATTTTGGGTTTCCATTCATTCATTGTTGCA